TGAAGTATTGTAGAGATGAGGTCTCGCCAAGTTGCCCAGGCGGGTCTCGAACCCGCGGGCTCAGGCAATTCACTCATCTCGGTCTCCCAAAGCGCGGGATTATAGGCTGAGCCACCGAGCCCGGCTCAGACTGTTTATTTCTTACTCAAACAGCTACAGTGAGATCAACACGATAAGTACCCTGTGTCCTTAGACCCACAGAATGACAGCAAGCCAGAAGGACCAGATGACAGATGGGTCACTCCACTGCTGAGGAACCATCTCCACACTGCAACCAGGCAGTGTTGTAGCCTGCAGCTGCACGCAAGGAGAGGCAAGGTGGAGAGTCCCAGATTTAATCAAAACCAGAAACGCTAGTGTCACCATTGTTTCTTAAGATTGCTTGTCTCCCTTTGTTCCAAAAGGAGCCTCAAAGCATTCTGCCAAACTCAACTCAGAGGAGCCTGTCCACATGACCTATGTGGAAACGTCCAAGGTCCTCAGGGACCCATGGCAGAGCTGTCCCTTACATCAATTACATCCCTGTTGGTAAAACCACTGGGTATACAATATTTTCGTTTTCCTTTTTTTTTTCTTGAGTTGGAGTCTCACTCTTGTACAGTGGCATGCTCACTGCCACCACAGCCTCAACCAGCCTTCCGCCTCAGCCTTCCAAGTACCTGGAACTACAGATGCAAACCACCACACTTGGCTAGTTTTTGTGATTTATTGAAGAGATGAGGTCTCACCAAGTTGCCCAGGATGGGCTCAAACCCCCAAGCTCAGGCAATCCTCTCACCTCACCCTCTCGCCTCAGGCAATCCTCTCGCCTGGACTTTATTGTCCTCTTACTTGACCTCTCAGAAATATTTGATGCAATGGACTCTCCATACTTCTAGAAACACTCTTTTTTCTTTCTTTCTTTTTTTTTTTTTTGAGTTGGAGTCTCACTCTGTCACCCAGACTGGAGTGCAATTGCCGCTCCCAGCCACTGCAGCCTCGACCTGCTGGGCTCCGGCAATCCTTCCGCCTCAGCCTTCCAAGTAGCTGGAACTACAGGTGTGTGCTACCACACCCGGCTAATTTTTGATTTGTTGTAGAGATGAGGTCTCGTCAAGTTGCCCAGGCGGGTCTCGAACCCGTGGGCTCAGGCAATCCACTCACCTCGGCCTCCCAAAGTGCTGGGATTACAGGCTGAGCCACCTAGCCCAGCCCACTCTTTTTTCTTATCATCAATAATATAATCATCCCTTCATTTTCTGCCAACCTCTCTGAATCTCATTTGTTAGTTTCTCCTCTATCCAATGTCTGTCCTTAAGTTAAGGCTTTCTCCTTATCTTATGCTACATTTTCCTCAACAAATCCACATGGTAGACCTCTCTGCCATGGTAGAGAGCAGACTCGGGTGCATTTTCTGACCCCAAACAGATTGGAAAGACAAAGAAGGTAGAGGAGCTTGAGCCAAACATTCCGGTTCCTTCTGTGCACTCAGGTACTTGACACTTCCTTCTCTGCAGAGAAATGAGTCAGAGAAGAAACCAGGTGCTCCTCTAAAACACCATCTTCTGTATGAAAGCCCAGACCTGATTTGAAGAATGTTTTAGGAAAATGATTCTGGCAACAGCATGGAAGTTGGGCTGGGACTCTCTGAGAGTCTCTCCTCTGGTTGGATGTGGGGAGGGAGGGCACCAAGGCTGTAGTCATGCCAGGACTGTCCCTTGTGAC